TAGTAATAGGATAGATGTATATGGGAGCACAACGACCTCTACTTATGACAGGCACTCACTATCTGGGGAGATAGCCAAGAAAGAAATGGAGACAAGAATCTGTGCTTTGATGGACAGACACTGAGATACTGCTCTTGAAACATGACTTATAACTTTGTTTCAAGTACCAATTATGTTATTAGCTACAACTATGTCGAAATGTTTGTGAATAAACCTCTGCGACAAGACGAGATGTGATAGATCTTATCAAGAACTTGGTGAACTTGGTGAACAATGGGAAAGATAAGTTACAATTAAGTGACAGAGGAAAGTGTCATTGATTGTAAGTGTGTGTAACAGTGTCTTTCTCAAAATGACAACTTGGAAAGTGATGTATATGCGTTCTATAGATGAGGTTTGACAAGCTGATGTGCATACTGTATCTTTCGATTCGAGGAGCTCAAACAGATTATGCTATAGGTTTGATGTTTCCGTGATTTATAGTATGGTCTAATATGAAAAGGAGGACCAGTAGACAACAAAACGCTTGAAAATCCCGAGAAAGTGATTAAAATCAAAGTAAGACGTACGATTCTTGTGAGAAAATCTATGAAAGTTTATATACTCGTTTCCTGCACACTGCGCAATAGAAGCTTTGATTCTGATGATTGTGGCTCGAAGGCGGGACTTCGTGACCTAGTTAAGGCTAGAGAATGATCAAAGAACACGAGCGCGAGAGACGCCGACTGCGTCGCGGGTGCGAGCGGCCTTAGTTAAGTCACAAAGCTCCGCCTTCCAGCCGACAATCCAGTTAAATCAAGGCTAGCGCTCAGTGGACATGAGAACTAGGTAAAGATAGAGCTCCACAACTCTTTGTGAAAGCAAAAAGCCTTGAAACCAAAAAAGCGCATAAAATCAGCTTTATAAGCAGCTCAAACCAGCTATCGACAACACATTTCAATGTGCCACTTCGATCAAGTTCGCTTTAAGATGTCTTTTTTTTGAATGAGAATCGAATATTTTGTGAAATCTAATAATAACCGGATCAAACCGGAAATCTACTTTATATTCTTGTAATATTGAGATTTGCTCAAGATAAGTAGAGTTCCACTAAAATAGAAATTTATTTTGACGAAGCAATGCTATGAATCAAGAGAAACAAATAAAGGTAAGCTCATATGCTCGGACGCATAGATCGGTGGTAAGCTAGCAACTGCAGACTGCCTGGTCTCCCAAGCACAACATAAAAATTTACGAGTGGTGACACGTACCATGAAATTCGAGCTTTGAAATGCGAGCTGCTCTCTACGAACTGGGTAGACCGCCTCCCTGCCAAAATTTTGCAGAATTTGCAAAGGTGGTAGCGAAGAGAGTGTAGGAGTGCTAGAAAAAGTTGTCGGCTTTTTTTGTAGAGCAGACGAATTCGCAAGTTTCTTTCGCAGTCCACCAGTGCACTTAAGAGCTAAGTGGTAGAAATTGCTGTAAAACTAGTCTTCCAAATTATCCGCACACCTTGAGCTCTTTGTTCCCTTCTCGGGCATTTTCTATACTCACATGCATTCTCTTCGTAAGTGCACGTGCTATGCTTACGAATCAAATAAGCTAGCAATCACGTCCACCGCAAAAGACCATTCCTATGTTAATGGATTTAGGGAAAGGAAAAAGATAACAATCTCGCTTTGTATATTGCACCTCTCCAGTAAGGCCAATAAGCGAGATTTTCATGACAGAGGCAGCTGTTTAAAATGGATATCTCAATATAAAAAGAAACTAGTGAGCAGTCTCAAGGAATCACAGAGAATTGGGCGAAAAAATGTGTAGCAGCACTACGGACGACTAATTAGAAGAGAGATACGATTCGGAATCATTGCAGAATTCATAGTTCGAAACTGAGAATGCAAGACTGGACAAAGTATGATAGAAAGTACCTAAAAAAGTTTGTAATGCAAAAAATAAGGCCATCCATCTAAACTGGACAAGAAATGAGGCTGAAGATTTTATCGCACAATTTCTTTCAAAAGAAACGAGTGTATGAATGATACAAATCTGCAGAAAGTAAAAGAGAGATAAGCACGCGGAAGTCCAACTTTACTAAATGACTGTACTGCACTTTGTTAGCGTACGTAGAGATAAGAAAGCTGTGGTCAGCAGTTTGCAGAAAATTCAATAACTGACACCTCGTTCATAGTTGACTTCCTGAATTTTCTGTTCATCGCGCAATACCTACAGCTCCACCACCTGCATTCGAAAAAATCAGATGTTCGCATAAACACGAAAAAGAAAAGTCTCTGAAATCCATGACTGGAAGAAAAAGACGCACTCAAAAAATCCTAATCACCACCTTGGCTATGCAGTCGTTGCACGGTAAATCCGCGACTAGAGCAAACCAGACTTTCACTTTTTTCAAAGAATAATATATTTCTAAACATTAAGTAATCAACACAATTAAAAAAATAGACTCCAGCTCAAACAACGATGACGATCTAGTTTGCAAACTTATTTTCGCATAAATTAGCAGTGGGTAGATGATCAGAGTTCAAAAATGATGTGCCAGAAATCTGATCGATTCTGTAACCCAAAAAGGGTCACTGAAAAATAAGAGATTATAAAGGGAAACAACAGTAACATCCATGAATGGGTTGACCAACATTATACCACCATCTCCGATAAGCAGACATTGTTAAAACTCCTCTGTTTTCGACAATGCAAGCATCGCCAATGGATCGAAGCAGCGTTGTTGTTTGCTCGCTTCGCTCCTTCCAATATATTTTCGTGGCTGGCTTGGTCCAAACAGCATGGGGTGACAATTTATGACGCTTCGGCAAGGACGATCCTCTGTTCTGCATCAATATTTACCAGCTATTTTTCCGATCCCCGAGTTAAATGACTTGGAATTTTAGTCTTAAATCCGATAAACCCACTGATAGGGAGCAGTCTTGAGATCTAAACTAAACCTTTAGGCTGTTTTTTCTAGTGATTTTGTATGAATGCTGTTTGTAAAACATTCAGTGGAAGAAGCGTACGCGTTCCTCTGACTGATTTCTGAAAGCTAATAGTCAAGCCGAGGCAATAGTAATGTATATTGAGAAGCTAGAGGCATGCATCAGACTATAGCGTGGATGGTGAGTCAATAAATAAAGAAAATTGAAAAGCGACGTATACAAAGTTGATTTATAGTCTTTCGAGAAATCAGCAATACTTGTACGTGCAGACAAGGAAACCGAGATAAGAGCCCTTCTGAAGGAGAGATTAGAAGAATATCAAACAGCAGAGCTGTCATTGCTCTGCAATCGACATTCATGTACTAATCTGGGGATTATAACAGAATCTGTTTCCAAAAAAAGGTTAAACTATGAAACACAAGTAAGTCCTTTGGCGATTAGATAAGCGAATAGACCAACTAAAATCTTAGAAGAAAAACTTAAAATTACTTTCTTCTGTGCCAACGTAAGATTCGGCAAGAGGAAAGGGTGGATAAAACATTTTGCTTGCCAAACCCAAGGATAAAAGGAGATAAGATCATCAAAGTAGGTATATTTCAAAATGAAATCAACTTTACATAAACACTAAACCACCACGACATCAACTATAGAAGACTGTAAACGAGTAGCAAAATCAAAAAACGAGCCTTTAATGTAAAAACTAGAGCAACGTGCGTAGCAAGTAAAATTTCCGGAACAGTCTCTGACATTGTTCACAATCTACTCAAGTCCGTTGGCCAACATTTCAAATGAAAAATGGAGTCAATCTGCTGCAATTTAATTTATGCATGAAAATCACAGATAGAAACGATGCTTCGTGGGCGCAAGGACAGATTACGAGGAATAAACAATTGATGCAAATCAATGAAAGGCCTGTTCAAATGAGGAATATCGATGCAGCCAAGTATGAAAGGTACTTTTACGTCAAACCTCTGAGTTCAAAAGCGACTTCGGCAGTAACCCAACAAATCGAAGTTTAAAAAATTCTTAAACTCTCTATTTGTCCCGAGGATGAACATTTTTTTGTATCTCTGACCTTCCTTCCTCCAAGACTGCGAAAGTCTTCGTCAGTATAACATTACAACACTTCACTATCTCATAAATTTGAAAAAAAGCTGAGCCTATTCTTAACTCTAAAACTAGAGATTTATTGGATGGAGTAGTATATTATTTCATAGAACAATGATCGATTTTGAACAGAGAAATCGTATGGTTAAGGAAATTGATAGTGTGAAGTATGACTGTTGCTATATCTAATTTTGAATTCAAGTATTTCTTGTTTGGTCTCCTGAGTGCAAGATACAAGATCAAATTATCGCCTTTGTCCCCTTCATTCTATAATAAGATCCACTGATTGATAACGATGGACAAAAAAGTGCACCGTGCAAGTTGGCAGCAAAGTACTGAACCCAGGAAGTCCCAATACATCATCATTCATTTATACACATATTTCTAAAAAAACGAATAACAGAATCTCTCTCGAGCCGCGCCATCAAACCAGAAAGGTTAATGAGAACATTTTTTATGCCATTCACAGATCTCAAAACTATTCCATTCATTTGAAAATTCAAGAGTGTCTTTGCAAACCATTTGTAACAAAGGCGCATAATTCATGGTTACGGTTCGGTACAGAACAGCTAATCGTTCTTTGTGCAGACCAGGAAACAGACAATGCTTGACAACAAAGAATTGGAAAGAAAAGTCATTGTCATAAAAGGTCTTGCACAAGACCATTTGGCAAGAAATGTGGATGACAATTTTGGCTACAAAGCTTTTATGGATCAGGAAATACGAAGACGCCATGCATGCGCATTTCTAACAAGTTCGAACTTGTTCTTCTTAGTTAGTTCAAGTTGTAAACATTTAGCATGAAGTTACAAGTTCCAACTTGTCAAACATGTGCTCAGGGCTCTCCAGATTTTTCCGTCCATAGAAACTCTGTAACTACAATTTCACGAGAAAAAAGCCATAGCCAAATCAGACCCGGATGCAAACAAGCGTGTAAGCAGGAGGAAGGGGTATATTCACAGCTAGTTTACATTATTGCCTGGCAGCAGCGAATGACCCCGTAGGGCAACCGGAGACAAGCAGATGTTGGAGCAGCTCATCGATTGGCGTGGCTGTCAGGCAGCAACGATGAAAGCACGAATGGGATAAAACTGCGATAAAAGTGTTTCTCGAAAGTGCCGCAGGTGATGCCTAAAAGAAAAGAGAAATCAGGTGCCGGAGTGCGAAATGCTTGTATTGAGTGGAGTTGAGCTAATGGCGCTAGTCACATGAAATCTTAAATATTGCGTAATTTATAGCTTAACGACAAAGCTGATTGAGTTTTTTATGTTTTAGTGGGAGTTCTCTGATCGTGAATAGTTCTTAACACTGCTCAGAGACAAGAATTAATGAAGTTTCACTCAAATTTCGTTTCATAACAGATAGAAACACACATTTATATGCACCGCTGTCAGTAACTGAATAATAATTCAATATGGAAAAAAAACAATAGATTCCTGTATGCGAAAGGTCATCAGATGAATTAAAGTATTCAATGTGAGTAGGTGGAAACTGAAAAATCAGAAAGGCTTAGTTTACTATCACAAAACCCACCATCACCTCCAAATGTTTCGACGACTGCTAGGAACAAGAGATTCGAAAGAAAGTGCACTATAGGAATGGTAAAAAACTGCTTCACCTCAGTTTCTCGAAAATCGTGAATTTCTCCGATTTTCAAAAAATTTGCATGACTTGACAATAAGAAGTGAAAATCATGTTTTCTACAAAGAATAGAAGCAAATATTACAACTAGCCATGGAATCAAGCTGTCAAATATGGTACTCGAGTTTCGTGTCTTTTGTCTTTTCGTGTCTTTTGTCTTCTGTCCACACAAAAATGCAAAATTTTGGCGATGAGATTTGTACTCTCAACAATGTAGGATTCGTGATTTCCTTTTTCAATGATTTTTGCCATAACCCCATTTATACCTCCGTTACACTCTGGTATAAATACCATTTTGAACAACTGATATTGTTACAAGGGGCTGTGGAAGTAGCAGGTTTATTTGTCGCAACCGGAGCGGATAATTGTAACGAGTACAGTGATAATAGTGGTGGTACAGTGGTATCGAAAATGTCAAGCGGCATATATGCAATGTGCTCACACAGATGCATTAACTGAAACAGAGATTCCAGAAGGATCTAGGATTGCACCAGTACAGCCAACTGTATACACCAAATTCAGGTCAGCATTGACCAGAAAGAGCCCAGGAACATTCGCTCAAGAAAAGAGCCTTACATAGATACATCATTGGAAATGTAGCATGAGATGACTGCGAGTAAATGTAATGGTTAAACAATGGTTAGAAAGGATACACTACTTGTGTACATAACGACCCAATTGAGAACAATCGCGAAGACGCAGTCAACACTGTAGTGATCGTCGGTGGAGAACCAATGGGCTGGCACAGGCATGGCGACGCCGCCATTTTCGTAAAAGCCCAAGCTAACTAAGACTCGAGTGAGAGGGTTGATTCCTGAAAAAGAAGAAAATTGCTCTCAAAGCTGCACACTATGGAAACCACAGGTTTCTCCTTCGGAGTAAAACAGACGAATCCTGGCCAAGGCTGCAATATGAAAGGAGCGTCCAGAATGCACACCTTCCTCCAGCCCGTATATAAGACTTCGAAGAATACCACGGTGAACCACCCTGAGAAAAGAGATATAGTCTAGACGGAAGATCTGACTCATAGAAGATAGGAGAGAAGACCTGACTAGAAGATCTGACTCCGCATAACTTGCCCTCGAACAGAACATCTTCGCTGGAACTGGATTGATATAGCGTAGAATAACCCAGTCCCTCTAATCATCTACACATGATGCTGACGAAAGGAGAGACTGAAAGCCGTCACTCCTGCTCCAGTCAAATGACTGCCAACAACGTGGGGACCCAGCCTCCTAAAAGGAAAACCTGATCCTAATCATAAAAGGCGAGGTAGGGCGCAAGGGCGGTTCGGCTGTGACCAGCATCTCGCTGGACAACCCATCTGTGAGATGGTACCATGACAGGCATGACCCCAACGCTTCCTTTGTTGTATTCTCCCTAAATCCTGTCCGCTGGTGCTCACGCAGGTGCTATTCGCTGACAGCCACTGGAACGAGTAAATCTGCGTCTATGCTTATCCCCGAGTATCCTTGTTTCGGGAAAAGCTCTGGTGGCCTTGATATCCAAGATTTTGATTGGGAATGCTGCACCAAATAGCTAAGACGATGTCATATATTCAAACATCTCGTCCCACAAGAAGAAAAGTTCGAGCTGTTTCAGACTTCCAAACTGCGTGCTATTCACATGGAATCATAGGGCGGGTGGGTGGGCCGCTCCATATGCGTCAAAACGCCTGGATGACCAGTCATCCTTGTTTTGCTCGGAGCAGTCATACCCCGCCTATTGGCTGCGAGCCAATCGACGAGAGTCGATTACGAAATATGTTGTTCAAAATAACACTTATACCTCCGTTACACTCTGGTATAAATACCATTTTGAACAACTGATATTGTTACAAGGGGCTGTGGAAAGAGCAAAGCCGGGGGACAGTGAGGATTTGCAAGTGGAGCTATATGCCCCGAACAACAACTCTCAAGGTAGAGGCCTACCAGGAAGCTGAAGGAACTCAGAAGGTTAGATGTAGCCGTTGTACCAGTAATTAGATCGAGCTAGTCTGAGAGTGATGACCTGAGCCTTCGGAGGCTTTGCATGAATCAACGAGGTTGAAAATAACGCACGTTTTTTTTTTTTTTTTTTTTTTTAGATCTGTCTTCTAGAGCCAATAAAGAAGTGCCTGGTGTGACCATCTCGTAAACGCACTGTACGAGCCCGCCAGGCTGTATCAGTTCCTACTCATGTGGGACAAGGTTGCCCGTCCCAGAAAACAAGCGTGTATCTATGGTGCGTGATGCGACAAAGACGAGTGATAATCGTTGTCATACCTGTTTGACCAAGTCATAACATGTAACACGGCAAAGAAATCCGAGGCTACGCGGCCCCGAATCGAACCAAATTTTACTTGAGATGTTAGTCCCAATCTGGGTTTTATCCACATATGGATACTATGCTTTAGTTGGGCACCTTCCAAATAAGCTGCTCATCAACAATCGCCAACTCACTAGATGAAGAACTTCTGAGAAGTAGAACATGATTGCGCCAGGCATAGTGACCGGCACTGGATCTACATATATACCGTTAACAAAACACTGCGGACGCGTTGCCGCAAAGCTTGCTGTGCTCGAGGGTATAACAAATTCCGACGCAGAGACGATAATTCGACGAGGACCGTCGTGACCGCATGTTATGACAGGTTATAGTGAGACCATGACTCGTCTAATCGGAAAGCATTAAGGACAGAGCTCGAAAGCCCGCTCCCGTTAAGTACAAATTCTGCAGATAGTCGAGATATCTGAGCTCGACCACTCAGCAGCGAAGAAGTCCGGCGGATTTGTAAGGCTAAATCATCTCTGAGTCTGAAAACCCAGCTGACATAGGCGATAATCACAGAAGGATTGTGCACAAACTCTACACTGTTGCCATAAACAGATAGCCACCCCGAGATGAGCAAGTAGGCAATGGTCGTGACCAGTTGCTGGCTATCCATCCGCACATCATGCAGTAATGACTGTATCAGAGCAAAGACCGCTCGCGAGAGAGCCAATAGGACACTAAGGTCCGCAATTGGACATTCATCTGGATACGAACAAACCATTGACTACCGGTGCTGACTCTGAGTAAGCTTTACTACCGGTCGTGGCCAGTCGACTTCAGAGACATCCAAGTACCATATCTTATCGCTTTAAATGACACACCTGCTCACTGGGGCTTCAACCGAAGAAAGCTTATCTGGGCAAGTATATAGTGGTTGAGACCGACCGGCTCGAGAGCCGTCAGATACCATATTCTGTCAATGCTATAGGTAAAACACTTGTTCACTGGGTCATCAACAGAAGAATGAAGGCTGTATCTGGGAAAATATATACCAGTAGTCGAGACCATCCTGCTCGAGAGCCATCCGAATACTATATCCCATCAGTGTTATAGGTGTGAAACACCTGTTCATTGGGCCTTCAACAGACGGGCTTTATCTGGGTACACTGGTGGTCAAGACCAACCGGCTCGAGAGCCAACCAAATACCATATCCTATCGCTATGGTGAAGCACCTGTTCACTAGGCCTCAACATATGACGGCTTTATCCGGGCAGCAAGTTTTAAGACTCCGGCTCGAGAGCCATTAAGCCATCGTACATCGTCTCATGTGTGACGACACCAACATATTTAGGCGCTTGACTGGAAGTTGCTACTAACGATGCCCCATCTGCATAAGAACAAATCAGCTGTTATCGACCGACCAGTCGGCTGGAGTCACACTATCATAGAAGGCACGAACACATTTCAATGCTGCAATCAGCTGAGAGGATTCACTCTTGTTCCTAGTAGCGGTGAGACTTTGGCAGCGATGGGAACCTTCCAGAATCATGTTAGCGAACTCAAGTTGAACGCCGGCGATTCCTCCATTATATATGGGCTCTTGAGCTAATCGTAAAGTCAAGGATTCCAAGGGACCGGAAAGTGGCTGCTGAGCTATGAGGCACATGAACTATCAAAAGCTGATGTTGGCAGAGAACCAGCTAATCACGTGGTCAACTTAGGCGTATGGCTAACATGTGCTTTGCTGCAAACTAAGAGATCAGATTACCTGATCGTGAAATACCATGTTTATGACAAAAAAAGACTTTATAAACAGTAGATTTCATGTGCACTGAAGAAAAGCTACCGGATGTGAAAGTGCGAGCGCTGAAGGCGATGAGCACGTTGGTTGAAGACAGAAGTTAAGAGAGCGAACTAGCTATGACTGGTTACATAGCTGCAGTTGCTTCGTAGTCTCCTGATGACATATAGCCGATTAACTAGAGAAACGCAGGAGCATCCATTCACCTCTGTCAACGGATCGAAGCGACTACCAAAAATGTTTAAGCTCGAGAGCCACTATCTTTGAAGGTTGAAACCGTAACACTTACTGCTGGCTTCCACGTATCTGCTCTACCACTTCGTAATGAAGCGGTGCATTTTTCTATCCTCGATCGCTTGCAAAAGGTTCGGCGATGTTACTGATCCATCATCGTATCGTCGTATCGTAGGTAATATGTAGCGAATTCATGACAGACGACCGCTCCATATGCGTCAAAACGCCTGGATGACCAGTCATCCTTGTTTTGCTCGGAGCAGTCATACCCCGCCTATTGGCTGCGAGCCAATCGACGAGAGTCGATTACGAAATATGTTGTTCAAAATAACACTTACATTACTTAGAAATATAGTGAAGAACGCGAGCAAACTGGGCGGTTAGAGAAGCCTCAATAGGCACCGCCTCCGCCGGAAGGGGTGGTCCTTTCGCTTTACTGTTGTACATCGTGTTAGGACCAATACAGTCCGTGGAGGTGGTGCTAAAGTGAGGTATTCGTTCCTCTACCCTAACAGAAGGGCTAGTAATACAACATGCTAAGCAAACTTGATTAATCCTCACATGCACTCGATTCAGCATATGACACTGGTTTTTTTGTAGGAAGCACGACGTTCAAAAACGAAGGCAAACCTAATCACAAATAGGCGAATTAATGAGAACACCCTCGCCGAAGCACATGTGCTCATCAAAGCGCACGAGATCTATTCCGATATAAATGAACGATAAATAGGTCATTCCGCCTTTTCCTAAGAAGTACGAAAAAGGTTGTACTTTTAGTCAACTGATGGCAATGATCCAACAAGGTGATACGATAGAAGCAAAAACTCATTACTAGCATTGAGATGTTTGATTCAAATAGCCTTATCCCAGATGCTGGAATAGGAATGGCGTTAAAACCAACTAGTGGGAGATTGCTTTTCAGCTGCATTACATGTGACTCACAATGCACTAAGAAAACGTACCTCTTGAGCAAAGTACAATAAGAATACGAGTCCTACTTTTTGTGTGCACGGGTTCTGCAACAAAAAACGTTGTATGCTCACCTGATCAGAGTGAGTGAAGGAGAATCCAAAGAAAATGTGGAGGGAGACAAGTGCAGATTCGATCTAAGATTATGATAAGCAAGCCAAGAATTCCATTCATTATTGCTGTAATGTATGCGGGCAATTATCCTACGTTATGTAATTGTATACGCAGTTCCTGCGAATAAGCATCCATGAACAAAATTATAAATTCACCGAATTTCCTAGAAACTCGTCATCGAATTCCACGCTCTTTCTCCTATTCGCTTGTCCTTTACTCCCCAAATCGCATCTTGTAACTTTCACACGGTAAACAGATACCATTGAGCTCTTTTTTTGTTTTGGGAGAAAATCTCCTTTAAAGCTTACGCATTGCCCTTTTATAGAAGAATAGTAATCAGGGCTCGGCACGAGGTGGCTAGATGATAATGCAAAAAACGAAGTCCCCCTTGACTTTTGGGTATTTTTACGAAGTCCCCTTTGACCCTCAACCAAATTTCCTCTAAAAACCTGAAACATTCCCCAAAATCCCCCAAAAAACGAAACGTCGACTAAAAAAAAGGTCGCCGTCGCCAATTTTCCGTGTCTCTTCGGTCACAAAAACGAAACCCCCTTTGCTTTTCGTCCCAAAAACGATATCCAGCTTGCTTGTAAGCCACCTCGTGCCGAGCCCTGATAGTAATTAGCGCTGTTCTCTGTGTTTTGCAGCTCACAATCAGTTTAGACGGAGATTAGTACCTGATAAGAAGTTCTATCAACCATTTCCAAGAAAAAGAATTCCAGCGAAAGAAGGGTAGATCATGTCTTAGCTAGCCATGAAAGTGTGGAACTATAAGCGAAAAAGGGTAAGGAACACTAGAGTACGTTAACCATAGAAATATAGATCTGCAGATCAAAATATACTCACAAAGCAGTGGCGGTCGCAGGATTTCCATCCAAAAGAGGGGGGAGGGCAAATTTTTTGAATGAAGATGCGTGGCTTTCTGCCGCCATTCCGAAAGATTTTTAGGGGTGCTTCTCAAAATTTCGGCGGGTCCGCGACCCCTAAAATCTGAAAAATGGGATCGTCGGCAGTTACGCCCCGAGAAAAATTTTTAAAGGCTAATTTGAATCTTTAATAGATTTTAAAAATTATTCTAATTATTCAAAAGTAAACAAGTCACTTTGATATTTTTTTAACGTATGTGAGTAAATTCCCCACCCCCCCCCCCCCTCCCTTCACTCCCTCCCCCCCACCCGGTCAGCCACTGTCACAAAAGATATGTAGGCGTAAACATACACGTAATACAGAGTCGACATCATCTACATATTCGGACATGGCGATAAAATCGAATACTAGCTGAACCAGTTCCGCAATCTATAATAGTGAATAATGAGAAAGACTTTTACCAGATACTGTGGTATCACAGGCTCTCGCATTTTCTGCGCTTGTAGATTATTGAGAAGGGGTGGGGATTACTCTAATGGACCAGTTTATCCCAACCAAGCAATTTGCTGGCTTCTAAAATTCTGCCTTGCTCTTTGACGATCGTTCGGCCAACGGCTCAGTATGGTACATCAGTAAATAGTCAGAACTCTCAGTAACAGACGCTTCTTCTACCTCTAGTGAAGCACTCAAAATTGACGAAGATTTCATTACGGATGCGCAAAAATAGAATTTAGCAAATTCTGTAGAACTTCCAAAGGTGGGAAAATTGATACGCCAGTGAGCAAAATTACCACATACGGATTATGAGTCATCTGTTTTCGAAGATATATTTCATATACATTACATAAAACACTTCTTACAGTAGACATTAGACAGATACGTACAGTTTCCGGACGTGCTCGACTATTTAGGAATTTCTATTATTTCCATGTGCTTTCGTAAGTGTTTCCTGAGCTTTAGAAAGAGCAGTACAAAGGAGTTTCCCGTGCATGTTTTCCTTTACAGCATTATCTCTGAATTAAGTCTTCTGATCCTGACTTCGTCAAAAAGCAATAGCGATACATGCTTTTCGCAAGATCCGATCCGTAATGAATGTCTTTTCATACACTCAAAGTTTTTGCAGCCTACAACTCGGAAAACAATCCTATTTACGAGAATCTTGTTTGCCTGCAAAAAACCATGGTTCTCACAGCCAGCCTATAAACAACAGACAAAAACAGCGCAAACACTTCTCATATGGAGGCTGGTAACAGAAGTTTGAGAATGATCTCATAGAAATTATGATTTATATTTTCAAGCACATAAAGCATCTGACAATGAGAACAATATAAAGCAAAAATTGCAGCATTGCAACATCTTTTATAATAGTGAAGCTATATTACACCGACTCTCATCACCATCATAGAGATATCGAACATACATATCACAGTAAAATTGGACAATGAGGCAATGCAGACAGTGCGTAGTTTGTACGTGTTGCTAGAACACGAGCATTGATATAAATTGGCTCATACGCTAAAAAAACATCGCTTTAGATTATATGGAGGGGGGAGGGGGTAAAAACCGCCCTACAGAATCACAAGTGCAGGTGACATTGGGCTTTGCAATGTGCAAACGAAGAGAAAATGTGTTCCGTCAATCATGGCTATGAAAATAAAAAAGGCATATGTGAAAGAAAATAAAAAATCAGGAAAATGATAAGAATATAGAGCAACCCGGCAAATTATTGGCCTAGATATGTGCATACCCAGGACAAGGATGTAGCATCAAGAAGACCGGCAGCTGGTCCACTTCGAGAAGGATGGCTGTCACAAATGCTGTAATATTTCGCGACTCCACCTTACAGTTAGCTACGAATGCCAACGTCATGTTGAGCGAAAATCAAAGAAATTTCAAATACTTTTGTGAGCAAGCATATAGGTCGCGGAGCAACGCTGACATTCCGATGCACAAAGGCAGTGGAAGCAAAGCTGAATAAACCCAGCTGGAGTTGACATCGCTGCTCAAACACAATTATATGCAGTTTAGAAATTCTAACATATTAGGCACTGTTTGAGATCCCTAAACTGGGGATCTGATGCAAAAACGGGGATGAACTATCACATCTGTTATTCTTGGCTAGCGCGTTGTAATCGGAGATGGCACAACTGACTACGACACGACAAAGCAAACAGGTGTCTGGTCAACATTATGTGAGAAGAATCTATTTCACACTACCGCACCTCGGCTCAATGGACGAAACAATACAGCTGCATTCTTTGGACTAAATGACGCATTTTTCGAACTTTCAACCTATATAAAGCATAATACTATTCAAAACTTAGACCTATATAGAACACTCTGTTTTGACAAACCGCCGGAACATAGTGATCATCGATTGTGAAGACGAGTACATAAAAATGCTGAAGATAACGAGTGTGGCTCCTAACGTAAATAATGGTGACGGTTGGAAATTGAAGATGATCATGGAACCAATGGTGGCAAGGATGATCGCCACCGAAGTTGCAAAATTTTTGGCGATGTTGTCCGCATATTTTATGCAAACGGCGACAGACAGACCTGAAACCAGATAGATAGACTAACAATTTTTTCACAAAACATGAATTGGCCATACCTCCCACGCAATACCACAAAACAGTCAGCCACACAACCCAATCAAATCCGTATAGAAGTCCATGTTCCATAACAACTTTCCCATCCTGAAAGCACCGAAGGATAGTGAAACTACCAACATATTTTCCTGTTCGATCTAAACCGTCAGCCACCGGAGGAGAACCAAAAAAAAACAAAAAGATTGTTTCAGAAAGCAAACGGTGAACGGAGAGGAGTACTTTAGGCATCATGCAACAAACAAAATGCGTATTAAGCTGTACTTTGTGTGTGCTAATCAAATACAAAAGGCACGCAAGATTTAATCTTATATCAGACATCTAAAGTAATTTGCACTGCAGGGCTGCTGCTTCTTCACATTTTAGCCATTTTAGCCAATATCTCTAGAAAAGTGGAGGAAAGGGGGGGGGGGTGAATATTCACTGAAGGTGAATAAAAAAAAATGGGCTACATGAATAGCAGAAGTTTGTAGATGGAGTGTTTACTTGTAAACAGCTGAAATAATCTCGATAGCAAAGTAGTTCCCGCGGGCATTCCCATTCTCGGATTTTTGGCCTATAGGCCCGCGAAAATTTTGAAGCATCTCAAATTTCTTCCAAATGCAATGGCTGAGGGCACCTTTGTCCTTCTTCATTCATAAAAACTCTGTCCCTTCCTTCCAAATAATTTTCGAACGACTGCTACTATGTGCATTTGGTTATCTTATCTCTGATTCGCATAACCACACTTCCAGCTTTTAATCATCTAACCGACTGGAAATCCTTCATGCGATTAGAGACTCCTCGCTCAACAGATTACTTTTCAACTTTATTTCGACTCCGTGCCTTCCATGAAATTTGTTTCGAATTGTGTCTAAAAATTTATTTCTAGATTTTCAATTTTCCTATTAATTGTTGATTTTCAGTCAAATTGTAAGGTAGAGATCGGTAGATTTCTTGATCGTTTCGTTAGTTCTCAACTGAATCGTACTAGCAATTTAGCAGAAAAATCAGCGCAGTCATCCATTATAGTACTTCATAAAAAGCCTTGACAAAGGTGAGCACATTTTTTGCCAAAAATTTCCCTTTCAGTCGAGACCAGCAAGTGAAAGTGACGAAGAGAGATTTTTACGCTGATTTTTTACAAATTACACCACTAATGCTCGTTGGTATTTGCTTGTTTGAAAACGCTAAAAGCATTTGAAATACAATTATATTATCAATGTATAACATTCTGATTCTGTTGTATGAACAATGTTTTAACAACCGCAAAAATTACATTTCAGTCAATTTCAAATGAGATGAATTCAATCGGAGAACAACATTAGTATATGTAGGTGTAGAACTATTCTTTGCTTTGGTAATGTTAAACAGTACCTGCCACATGACACCCCCAAATGACGCTGGAATCGCGAAGACACACATTTGGATGTTTCGCATCCACAGAGAGACCGGTGCAGAGCCTTTTAAAATCTTTTCGAAGTAAATGCCAGCAAATCCTGATAGGCAGCAAGCGATCACAACCGCAAGGAAACCTAAAAGTATAGTTACTTTCAAACGTTATGAGACTGAGATAGATGCAGTATACCTATGAAGGGTCGTTGGCCTTCCATACCAGACGAATCCGTTTTGGAAGTTTGCAGCTGCACCAAGGACACTCCAACGAAGAGTATAGCAAGAGCAAACCTCAAATTTCGATCTATGCATAAACTCATTTCTAACAGGGAAGTGCCTAATCACCACTGCGTCCGTGTCAGTGAACGTTTCAATATGATGACGGTGAAGATAGCCGCCGTGAAGATTTTCAGTTGCGAAGTGATCTATAAGATGTGCGTAAGCAGAGTATTCTATTTTTTCAATAGAAAAGGGTTAGAAAAACAAAGTGGAAACCTTATGTGGCAGAAACTGCTCAATATTTCTGAATGTGAATGAGATCTTAGGCACAAAATCTCTTTCGGCAAGTCTTGAAAGGGGAAGAGGTTACTATTCCACAAAGTTACTTCCTAAGTTACGAGGCTTGCATAAAATTTTCCGACTTCCAAACCATAGGAAGACAGAAATTTACAACTGTGTAATTCTTTGAAGCTTACAGAGCTGACCGATTTTTACGAAACGAAAAAGGTCAAAACAAACCATGAATGTAGCAGCATCGAGATGTGAGGCAGCAACATAAAATAAGTTATTTTGAACAATGTACACCATGGCTGGTACGCAAACTTTTAGCGTATCATAAGGTTGTCGAACCACTTGATTCAGCAGAGCTGGAAAAAATCTGAAAAAGTACCCTTCAAAAAAACTAGCCATTTTGATACACAGGTTGATTTTTAAGACTGACTAACCCTTTTGGTGATTCATCATGCATAACAACTCCTAGGCAAACCACACATTTCATTACTTCTGTGAAAAATACAGCCACTGTGGACAGGAACATATGTTCGACCTCTCGTGCACGAGAGTATCTAAACAGCAAGACGATTTAACATTCCAAACTAAAATTGTTTTTTATATTCTCAGCAAAAATCAGAATAAAATCCTCAACACTGTACTCCTTTTTTTATCAGTGTTAAAGGAGAAACTGGACCATTCATAGAAACTTGATAACTCTCAAGGCGCAAACATTCTCTATGTAGTCAACCCATACCGTATCAATAGAGTGTGAATGCTATTTTGTAGCGTCAACCATATGAGAATTGCCGTTCGCATTCCGCTTGTTGAATGCGATCTCTCGTACGAGATAGTGACACGAGCCTGGAAATCACTACAATTTCTGAACAAAACAAAACAAATTTTTAACATTTTGGTAAAAAAAAAAGAGAAGCATACAGGTGCCAAAAATTCTACCACTGAGCATAAGCTTTCACTCTCGAAATGAAAAAAATGAAGGGCAAAAAATGAAACTGGGGGAAATATTTTTGAAACTCCAGCTTGCAAAGTCAAATTCAAAAAAAAAGTTTGTTGATTTCGGAATGTCCAAAAAAATTATCAAACTGCGTGATTGAACACTCTCCGTAGTCCCTCGAGTGTGCGATAGCTTCACAAAGAAAACGCGCTATTGTCATTTCAACGGAGACAGACACTACTCACATGTTCACAGTCTCACGAGTGATGGATACAAATTCTTGGACGCATCCCTACTGCATTTTTGTGTTAGTCGCATGCTGGCTAATATACACTACACTATCATAGGAAATCAGAGCTGCTGAATGCGTACTTCTCATACATGTCTTACAATATTTTTAAAGTACCATCAGACTCGTTGTGACTGTGACTCATTGTGTCAAGTACTTGAACTCGCAAAAATCATGTTCATGTTTGCGATCGAGCGATTTCGCAGTATGTCGCATGGAGTTGTGACACGAATGAGATATAGTGAATATTGAATTTACAAGAAAAACAAAAACTCTGGATATATTCAAAAGCAATCAGATACAGCGATGAATGCGCAAGGTGACCAAACTTTATGAAGATATCATACTATCTGGTGACCTGACGGTTTTCGATACTTATCAAGGGCAAGAAGGATGTTTCATACAATCGAAAGCTTTGCACCGACTCTTGCACCCAACTCTCGCCCTCTTGCCTCCGATAGACATCTATGCCTTCGAGGGACGGAACTTATTCACCCCAAGACTTGCCGCAGCGTAGGTATGGGGGTCACGAAGTCAAAGTATAGATAAGATTTCCATACAAACGAAATAAAAGTTGATATTTGAAGGTCGTCTATCACGATGTTTCCGAATATGCTGATGATTATGTTCTAAAAATTTTTACCCAAAACACACTTTCACTTCACTGAAAATATGAAAAAATACGATTTGAGGGTTTCTGCCATAATGTTTTCGAATAAGCTGGTGATTTTTCTCGAAACCTTCGACTTTTTTTTTAATTTTTACAACTAGTGAAGAGTAACAAAGGTGCTACTTGCAAGTGCGTTCGCTTCGGGACCGCGCCGCAATTTCCCGCTATTTGCGAAATTTTGAATTGCGCTTACGTTTCTTTATATATTCGATTTCGACTTCCCCATAATTTTGATGCAAAAGGGAAAATTGGAAAACAAACGGAAAAATATGCTATGTTCAGATCAAATGAGCTGAGGTAAAATCCAACTAAGAAAATAGATTTCAAACCCGACTGAGACAATACGTGTCACTGCTATTAGACTCCAAACATAAGAAATGAGTTTACCGAATCTCAATCTGAAGCTGACTTCATCCTCGAATAAGGATCAGTTTTTGAAGTTTTGAGTCAGCATAGGTTCTGTGCAGAACCACCAACATCCGGGAACAACATGAAAGAGACGTGGGTAACAATTTTCACTCCAATTGGAGAAAACTGCTAATGTACTTCGGGTTCGGTATTTCAAAGAATTCTTGGTTTCATGTACTTCAGGATGAGGACAAACTACTGTGTCAGAAATCTGCTCTATTAGGGTGCAAATTGGGTGCTAATTAACGTTGCTGACAATTCATGACCTACATAAATAAGCTGCGGAAACTCTTTGGGTGGATAAGTTCCCTCACACAATTTTCCAACTATTTCGGAATAGTAAGTGCCAATAGTTCTGTGAGACTGCTCGAGACGCAAATCACCAGCCTCGAATCTAATCCCCTAAAGTGATTGCCGAAAAGTCAAATCAAACGGGAATTAGTCATCATTTTGGGTCCAAATTTCATTGTGACCGTACAAAAAGCCAACACCTATTGCGTTACTAAAAAAACTGCAAAATGCGTTGTATTCGTTGAGGTAAAACTAAGAGTAATGTACCATAGTCTATTTTTGAGAAATCTTTGCAAAATATGTTAGAAACACTCGGTGCACTTTTCAACCATGCATTGTAGGAGCGCAACGCATAGGTACACTCGAGTAGGTTTTCGTTTAATGTAGTGTGCCTGCACACCGCAGGTAAAATGCGGTAAAATTTGCGCGTAAACAAATGGCCACCAGTAATGCCTGCATTTTGCACGCGCAGTTGGCCGGCATCACAGGCGTAGCTATTTCTTCACGCGCAAATTTATACCGCATTTTACCTGCAGTGCAAGCACACTATTTTAGCGGAAAATCTACTCGACTGTACCGTGAGAACTTTTGGGACAAACGATACGATAACTCAGAGCCGTTTTTTTTTTCAAACACAGTGCGCGAAAGTTACTATAAAAGACGAGTAGCGCAATAAATGTTGGCTGCATGCTTGTTGAAGAAATCGTAACCCCATAACTCCTTAAGAAATTACAACAAAAAACCAACAAAGCAGATGATGTTATCACGATCAAAGGCAGCTTAATGGGGCAAGGAGGAATGTCAGCAATTGACGATAGGCGCGAATGCACGCTCCTACGACGATCAGATTGCAGAAGAAGCGCCATCGGATCGACAATGATGCACGCATCCAAGATAGTGCTGCTATCGTACCCTTACATCTCCCCGACTATACGGATGTGCAGCTTACGTAAGAAAAGGTTCGCATAAAACCCGAAATAAGAAACTCCGATATGAAAGCCGGAGATTCTATCTGAAAGCCAGCCCATGTAAAGTACATCAGCCAAGCCGGGAAGGCAAGGATAAATTGGACCAAATTTGTTGTGACAAATGGAATGAGCCTGTATGAAATATGAACCTGGTCGATAAGTGTTTCTCAAAAAGTTAAAAAAATGCAGTGCTCTAGGTGAACATTAGGGGAACAAGGGCATAGCTACTAAGTAAAGACTCAAGCGTATTTGAGAAACCTATTGCAATTACACACGAACTCCCAGATATAGTTTCCACAAGACAACTCTAACCATTTGTTAGCTCACTGTATTGATCTACTTTGATAGAAGCTACACTTCATCGACCCTGGCAGGATATATCAGTCGTTTTGCAAATCAAGTGATCCGAGGTAGATAAACAACACTTTGACAACAACAGAGATGGTCGATAAAGGTTAATACGCTTTCGTTTTTTACTGGACTAATACTTTACGAGTTTTTTTGCTGCTTAATTTGTGTAGCGGTCCGTTCTTGACTAAATGTCAGTTAATGATTAAAAAGGTTGGAACATTCTGATTTCATGCCTCTAGATTATATACACTTTTGATAAAATGAAATGAACGGTAGTTACCCGAGAGCGGATGACAACTACCAAAAGTTAAAGTGTGTAGCAGAAACAAAACAATGCTACATCTGCCCTTGGTAGCTGGGAGTTTTGCGTGAAAGCAAACAGATTTGTTTGGGTAGAAACATCGAAAGATAAAGCAATTCTAATGCATTCCACACTGGCAAAATCATGAATTGTTATTTAAGTACACAAATAAATCAGCAGACCGAGGATATCCCGAATAAAGCCCTCCAACATATATCATTATCATAGAGTCACTATATCAAATACTGATATCTACTCTGAGAACTGAGACCAAACAAGCCTCGAAGCAATACCGATTCAAGTGATCATGATTACAACATGCGCTTGAAAGGAAAAAAAGAGCCTAATTAATTGATTGAAAACATACCACTTTTATGAGATGAGGGACTCATGTGACTTTTGCGCTAGCATCAATGAAGAATGAAGAATTATTAGGAAAGAAATTGAAAAGACACCACGAGAGAAGCAGCGAAAACTAGCTATCATGAAAGCAAAGAAAATCAACTGACAAATAAGTCTCCCATGTAATTATGGAAAATAATCATGAGGAAGCTTCAATGAGAGAAAGACTGTGGCAACCATTGGAAGGAGAACTAGATGCGCAGCTGCCTCGCACATAGGATAGACTTTTTACATATGGAAAATAGAAACAAAAACAACACTCAACAAAAATAAAGCTTTACATAATCGCATAGAAAAAGTGCGATTATGCTGAAAAGCACGTACAAATTTACGCATGTTTTTTTTGTTTTTGGCGAGAAGAAAGACTTACCGGTACTTTAGCGCTGCTCGGTGCATGAAGTAATGGGACAGCATCGGGATCATTCTCTCTCTTGGCCATGAAACAAAAATGTTTACTTCAGCCGATAATGTGTTTTGCGAGAACAGTGATGTCTGGAAAAGACCGAAAATAATTATGAGAAAACCCCAGATGAAAAACATGCGACTGACGTTTTAGAAGCACAGATCACACAGATCGACGTTCACTACTCTTGAATAATGCCTGTTACAGATAACGATCTAGATGAAATGGAAAGTAGTGAAATACATGGGCGTGAGAATTGCCCCATTTACTTATCGCAATCAAAACCTGACATCTACCCGCAGCATACATTTGCATGAGAAGAGATGACGAACGACCTTATGAATGTCGTTTCGATTCAATTTTTGTTGTTCAAATTCACAATCGGAAATTCGACTACATCAGTACACTGGACTCGTTACAAGCTCAAACCATGTAGACACGGTAAGAATGCTGCATAATCGGTTCACACATAGGAGCGAAAGGATAAAAGTGTCTATGCCTGTCAGCCCTTTTCACCGACTCTATCCCCACTGAATTAGTACAACCAGATAAGAAATAAATTTCAGAACACTCCAAGCAGCGAAAGATTTGGCTACGGAATGCTTATTGTGACACCGGTGAATTAAAGCTAATTCAAGCAATACTAGCTGATGCAACTTTTTGATGCCTGTATAACTAAAAATTCCAACAGATGGGTGTGAAATTTGTTCAGGTAAGTCAGCCTAATGTCCATTGTGTTATCCAACTGCATAAACACCATGGCCACCATTGATTGAGCAGTGGCGGGATCCGGTCACAGCAATCCTCTTATAAGCCTCAAAAATCGCTCTCAAGGTAACTTGCAACTCTAGCAATAAACTCAAGTCTTTAGTGCAACCAACAAAATGCTGCACAAAATTTTTGGCGCGGTGCCTCCCATCTCATCATTGAGCGCTAACATGAACGAAATCATTTTTAGCTGAAGGAGCAACAAAATTGCACGAAAGAAAAGGAACTCTTGACATCCAGACAATACTCCGCCCGCTTCCCATTCACTGCGACGCAATGGGGATGGACACTATCAAACTTAGCGCACACGCTCTGTACAACGCGTCTATTGTCAACGTGGAAATGTGTCATGACGGCAGCTACGCATACAAGCGGATCAGCCAAACTCTCGGCAGTATGGTGAAAAGGAACAGTCATGTTGTGACATCATGATCAAATACATGAAATAAGCTAATTTGTATATTTATTGGTATAAAACAACCCAATGAATACGACAAACCCGCAACAGATGATCGATGGATTAACGCCAAAGTAAAGCATTGATGTATTATGTATGGAAGCCACGTAAACTGCATGTTACGGTCAAGCCACACTCAATAGGACTAGTATATTCTGTGATGTATGAAAAAATCGACTTCGCCCATGTACGAGTTTACACATAAGTTAGATAAGAAGATAGCATAGTCGCTAAGAAAAACAAGAAAGAAATAGTGAGCCCGAGATAGCCACATTTGCATTTCATTTGCAAAGCAAGTATGGAAAAACTTATGTTAATGCAGCAAATGAAAAAGAGCAGAATATAAGACATCGAGAACAACAATATAGAGAACAAAATTTGACTTAGCTATATTTGTTCGAAACAAAGGGATTATTAGTGACAACTTCTGGTGTGACTCCTAAAACTTTCACGCTGGACACAAATTTCTTGCGATTTTGTTGGCAGATCGGTCCGCATAGACGCCCTGAGAAGTAGATAGATTGATAACATAGTTAAGACAAAACAGAGGAACAAGAAATAAGAAAATCGGGCACGAGAAAAAATGCAAAATACGCCTAGATTTGAGCAAATGCATAAAAAGGATGATAAACGACTAATGTGAGAAAGCTTACGCCACAAGCGCTTGCGCTAGAATACAAAAGGTTTTGTCAATGCATGCCCCCTTACTAAAAGACAATTTGACCGCGATGTTAGAATCCACTCTACCTGACTTACAACCATGAAAATGGAAACTTTCGTGCAGGAATCTTTAAAACTGTAATGCTGAACAAGCTACAAATAGGCAAAGGATACGATATTACTTAAGCGAGAAGGACGCCAAAATCACTGCTCTCCTAAGCGATTTGCTTCAAAGAATGTTGAAATGATGTTGGGGACATTAGAAGCTGAACAAATAAGCCAACCAAAAATTCAGTGTCAAGAATATTGAAATTATAGGACAAAGGTATTCACCACCGATAGCACGCATTTGAACAAACGGCATGCAGAAGTATTGAATGTTGTAGAAAGTTTTCAAGGATATAGGGAGCAGAAATGGCGACAATGTACCTTGATGATAGCAAAACCCAAGCAAATAGAAAATTTATGTAGGCTACGACAGAAAAAAGTCGTACCTCCACAATTCTCGCATGGCCAATGGCATCCATGGCATTCTGGGATCAAACAGTCACAAAGCGTTATGCAGTCTTCACCGGGAACGATAAGCTTTCCCTTCTTGTCATGAAAAATAATGCGTTTCTCTTGTACCACTTCTTTATCTTCTGTAAAATCAATTTTGTGCCACGAATTTCAAAATTTGAAACAACAATGAGTCTTTGACAGTGCATACCGATTATCTTTCGCCGAGATCGACGACCCTTGATTGGTTGAGACATTGAGCCGCCAGGGTTGATAAACTGCAGCTTTCCTAATTCTCGTTGCATTTGCCTTTGACGATCTGCAATATAGCGATACCACCCTATTAACTCTGAGAAAGATATCAGAAGAAACTGACTTATTTCATCAGGTGTCATTTGAACGCTCTCATCGTTTATATCGTCGAAGAAGACGATGTTTGCTGAACTAGCATCATGGCGAGCAGTTTCTCGATCATCAACCTAAACGACTATCCTTTGCAACAGAAATGAATCGCTCACGGCTGTGTTGCAAACAGAATTGAAAGCAAAGAATATAATAAGATAAAATTATTTAGACGTGATATATTTGAAGCAAATCCGAAGTTTATGTGATACAATTCGCGTAAGCGTTAAGCGCAAATACTGCTGAGGTTTGAATGTCTTCAGGTTTTACTCGCCCAACCGAACGCAGATGAGCAGTTGAATAAGCAAGTTGGGAAGTGGAAATTTTGATAGAACCAAAGCAACTGCAAATTGAGAGCATAACCCCGACAAAGAAGTGAGAACCACTTGCAACGTAAGAAGTGATTTCGCCACAAAAATTTTGGCAGGATCACTCGCATTCCCTGCTTGTTTTTGGAGCTTTGCGTAGTCTACAATGCCATCATAAGCAGAATCAAAAAGACCACCATCAAGCCTATAAGCCATGACGGACTGACTGTTCAAATGCTAGCAAAGCGAAGAAAGTTATGACAAAGAACACTGGGAATACATTTTCTCTCTGAACGATCTGCGTCTTTCTGGAACGTGTGCCAATACACGCTTGAGGTAAAAGTGTCCACAAAGTCGGTGATCTCTAGATTACTATTTATTTAGACACTGTGGTGAAGTGTAGGTGCATAATGCCAGCTGTTAGCATACAAAGCCACACGATAGTGTGCAAGTCATTTTTGAACAGTGGCAACCTTCACACCTCACTACATCTGTCATCAAATAATGCCTAGTTAAACTGCCCTTTCCGGAAAAAATGTATAGGTACCTTCTTAGAGGATTCTGACTGATTCAAGTCTGATCTCTTGCTGCGGCGCGCTTCTATGAGTGGGTGGCAGCTTTTGTGGAAGTGTGAGTCGCGCTTAGGGCTTCAAAGAAATAAATATTTAGGATAGGTCTTTGGTGTACTCGAAGAGGATAATGGTAAATGTCAGGGAACTCTTTGTGCCCTACAATACAGTCAAGTAGAAATTTGACACAAATCTTAGCGGCGCGCAGAGTTTCCTGTCCAAAACATGAATTATAACTAATCCCTCGACGATGCTTTGCTGATACAGTAGACGCTTTGATATGAGCCTTTCGCGCCTTCAAAAATATCGCATGTTAAGCCAGACTAAGTATCCTTTTCTTTTGACGGATGATAATATGCAAGCGATCCTCTCTTCTCCCATCATTTAATGCTACCTACTTACTATTCATTCACTGCCATCCTTTAACGATAGCTAAACGAAAAAGAAAAAGGTTTGAGCACAGCTCTGATCTCTGTGAAAGAGCACTCCTGCGCTGCAGGGATTCAGTTGCTTTTCCGCGTACAGAGATAAAGCAAGTACAGGTAAAACTTATAGTAGCGAGTGTAGAGTAAAACTGAGAAACACAGGTGGTGTTGAAAAAGAAAATGGAAGAAATAAATCGGAACAAAATGTAATGAAACGAACGCGTTGCTCCTGTGAAGAGCCGGAAGCAGCTGCCGCTCTTGCATTGGCGAGTCCCACCAATAAGGAAAGCGCATCATTAGTTGATGACATGTCTGAAAAGAAAACAACGTCAAGGACAATCCTGAGTTTGCGATAACACCGACTAGCAGAAATTAAAGAATAAGTCAACAAAGATGAAAATACCGATATAGGTATGTCCATGGATAACATATCATTCGACTAAAGACTCGAAAACGGTCTGCACACATCTTAGAACAACATTGATCGTGTGCTTAACAAGTTTCTACTTGTATTTCATGCAATCTACGGTTGTTTAACAACTTGTTAAGACGGAAGAACAAGCCAAGCTTGTTTAGACAGGATGCGCAAGGCGATCTCGAGTCTCATAGTCATAGAATGTACGACATGTGTAAAAGAACGTAAAAGGATGCTGCCAACATTGCACACTAAATGCGTAAAAGTTGATAACGACAAATTTTTGACAACTCCGCCACCTTCCCACTTCCGCAAATGCCATCGAAAATGGCGCCCCATGGATAATCGAAATCGCGCAGCAAACCTTTTTAGAGCGCAGCGCACTACGGTGCGGAAGTGTTGAACTCATTGACGACCGAACCGTTTTGGGCGAAACTTCTGCTAACATTTCCAAGCATTTGGCTCGTGCATATGCGCGTATGCGCGAATTTTCTATGTTGGAGCCTTTCTGAAGCTCGGTCATGAAACATGCGAATTTGGTCCACAAATCCAGAAACAATCAGAATTTTCGCGAAAAGGGCCCTCAGACAATCGTGCATTTCCCCCGTATTGTTCACATATGAAACCATTAACCGTGGCTGCCTTTCGATCGTTATCAACACGTCAACTCCAGCAAATTAAGGCGGCCTGTCACTTAAATTTGCTGGAGTTGACGTGTTATAACGATCGAAAGGCACCACGTTAATGGTTCATATGTGAACAATTCGGGGAAATGCACGATATGTCTGAGGCCCTTTTCGCGAAAAGCGTTACAACACTAAGGGCCGCATACACTAAACTCCTCGCTGGGGTGCGGATCGCAGCGTAAAATAAAGCTTATTTTGAAGCTCCAGATGTCTGGATTTCACGGTGTCTACCTGTCCGTAAGTATCCCCACCATCCTTCACTATGAACATAATGAACAGGAGCAAGAAGCTGTACAAGCCGTTCCAGCTTTTTGTATGACTTCATGATGATGCCCCGCGGCCGAACGTCTTTTCTTCAAGTCATTTTTCTTCTTTTGAAGTTAACGAAAACCTTCCAAAGTTGTACTGATTATCTAACCCAACAGTGCTAAGCAGAGAATGGTCAGAACTTAACCCAGTCATACCAAACATTGGCCCGTAGTAAAGCTCGATCAGTTGAGGTGAACTCAACTTAACCCATCAGTTCACCGCACGTGAGGTGGACTGATGACCACCCACCCTACCATGCTATAAGATGGTCAAGTCAACTGATAGTTGACGATCTGTCCACCTGCTGCAGTCAACTCTTCCACATCAGTTCACGTTCAAGTCACCTCAACGTGAACGGATGTTAGAGTGATCCAAATAGTGTGTAGAAGAGGAGACGCAGACAAGAGGTGACTGCATCTAACATAAGTTGCTCCTGAGTAACTTACGATACACACAGCTTTGCCAAAAAATGCAGAAAAAATCGGCGCAAAACTGCACACCCGCGCCCGAAAAGGAGAGGATCAAAGAACAGCTGATTTTGGCGATGAAAACAAAAAACCGTTATTTCTTTTTTCCAAAGTTTGCCGACTTTTTTTTTTTGAATAGTTGTTCAAGGCAAGAATTTGTAGATTTATTTCGTTAAATTCGTGTTGCAAATATTTCAATTTTCATGAAATTTTCGTCAAAAAATGCTTTGTTGTTTCATCCATGCGTTTTCTAGGCGAAATCCTTGATAGCGGTCATCATCGATTTTCCGATAGTGGTCGCTATCAAAGATGCCCTGCGATACAGCAAAAGTGTGTCGCTAGACGGTATCAAACCATGGCCGCGCGCCTCCAATTCCAATCGCTTACCTGTTCGACCAAACCAACTCAAGTGGTTGCCTTTTTCAAGGGCACACATGATTATCATGACTAGACAGCGATCCCCATCTAAATCAATAGCTCTCCGGATGCTGGACTGAGGCGCGATGAGCTCGCCCCCGGTCCGCGTCGAGTGAAATGCATTGATGGGGGGTTTACTACGGGCCATACTGTATGTCATCGGACTCGTTCTCAAACGCTGGTCACAAATATATGTTTACCCTAAAGTCTTACAGATAAGTCCGCCTTTTTGACACGATCGATGAAAAATCGCCCTCGCGCCGCCAAAAGTCTTGCATGTAAGTCCGCCATCAGATAAATCCGCCTACAGATAAGTCCGCCATCAGATAAGGGAAAAGGAGAAGAGGAGTATCATTCTCGAGTCACGAAATCTCAAATTTTGTCTTATAGTTCACATTACCGAAAAGGACGCTTTTGCTAAAAATATGACAGAAGAATCCTTCTGTTTTTCATCTGAGAAAAGAAGCGGACTTATCTGATGGCAGACTTATCTGCAAGACTTTAGGGTAATATCTGATGGCGGTACTATCTGCCAAGCGGCTATCTGAGAGGAGATTTGAGCGTTTGAATGTGCGATTCAAGTGTTCTGTGGCGCAATTTCACGAAATAGGTTTCAAAAACATTTGTTCAGGTTTTTGGTGAATGTGCTTCTTCCTTGTGATTTTTGTTTAGGCAGGAATCAGATTAGTAATTAACTATTAATCAATCTAGAATGCCCAGGTTACAAGAATGGAGGACTTTCAACAGGAATCAGATTTTTGTACCTTTGCGGGCAGTTCTTATGAATGACGGCCCTCAGCTGACAGGTAGGGCAAATTGAGAATAGTTGTGAGTAAATGCTCAATGTCATTGTTCTTTCCTGGGAGTCGTAAGGCACTTTTTGTTATGAATACGGTCTTCAAGCGGCATTAGGACACTTTCTTTCAAATAGACAGTCTGTAAGCGGCACATAGGGCATTTTGGTTAAGCAAGAAAATAGATTTTTGTACGTTTGGGCAGTTCTTATGAGTGACAGTCTTGAGTGGCAAGCAGGGCAATTGTAGGATACATTGTGAGTAAATGCTTGTTTCTTTGTTTTTCTGCGGAAACCGTAAGATAGTTTTCAATCATAAATATGGTCTTTAAAGGCACCGTCAAATTCTCGACTTCTATGTTTTTGTCGTTCCAGGGCCTTCTCATTCCCTGATTCCGAATATGAGGTCGAGAATCAGTGAAAACTCCGAAACTCTCCGTTTCGGAGAACCCGCAGAGCGAGTTCTGCGGAACGGGATTGGTTGCGCACGAATGGGCGGGACGAACGTCACGCACACTCAAAAGGGAGGAGCCAACGTGGCGGCCGTCATCCGAAGCGATTTTCGAAGCGATTTTCTTTCTTCGGAAGCAATTTTTGCCAGCGCGAGTTGGGCAAGTATACAATGATTTACAGTGAGATACAGTGAGATACAGTGAGATTATACAGTGAGATTTTGGTTTAGGCACAAAAATCTCATCGACCCCATTTTGGGTGGACGGTGCCTTTATCACGTTGACGACGAGCTGTTTTTTTGACGTCTGTCCCTGTGGACGAACCGTTTCCGGGCATTATCACAGCCGGCTGCATATATGTGTGTATGCATCTATGCGCGAGGTATAAAAATGCAAGTGGGCGGGAAGCTCCGCCCATTTTTGGCAACCCCCGCCCACTTTTCAAAAATGCTGGAAATTGCTCAAAATCAATAAATTCGTGCAATTCCGACATTTTTGAAAAGTAGGCGGAGCTTGCCACTCAGGGGGCGGGGTCAAAATCAAGGTTATTTGATTTCCCAGTCATCTACGAGCTTTTCTATGCGATTTGAGAACGAAAAAAGTTTTTTGTACAGGGCAACGGAGTGGGCGGAGTTTGCCAAAGAGGGGCGGGGCCAACATGAAAAACTTCCGAGCCTAAACTGATTCTGTGAAAACACAAATTGGAACCATTGTGCACATTCGAATGGTATTTAGGGTGTCGCGCACCATTGCGCGACACTGTCGTCAACTTGTTAAGCGACACATAGAATATTTGTTCGTTGCCGAAAATTTCGTCGCACAAAAATATCAGTTGATTACATTTGTCTAGACATCGCCAAATATTGTGACAAAATAACGAGGGTGAGGTCTCTTTCCATAGTAAGATTGCACATTTTTCATTTTGACGACGACCTAACTTGAAGGACTTTTTGAAAAGTTTTGAGACAACTGCTTTGTTGCTGTCAAAATTGATTTTGAGAGAAAAGCTATGATGTTTTTAGTATACTGTTATATATGTTCTCCTACTTCCAAGACTATGTGTATTCTGTTAATTTCCTAATATACTGTTATATATTAGGTTGGACCGAAAGTTCGTTCGCACCATTTTCAAAAATTCATAACTCTTTAAATTCTTAACAAATTTGTAAGAACAAAATCTACCCTAATAGAGGAACTTATGCTCTTTGCATCTGTACCTGAATTGTTTGTTAATGTGTACAAATGAAGGAGATGGAAGCTCAAAACCAAAATTACTCAAAATTTGAATTTTCTGTGTAGGGTCATAAAAAATCGGAGACTTGCAACAAAAATCGGAGCAGTCGGTATTGCATGTTTTTTAACAGCTCTTTCTAACAGTGCAAAGTTTGCGCCGATTGAGCGTCTCTACGAAAAGTTACGATTTCCCTGAAAAATGCCAAAATAAATCAAATTCGCCCTTTTGTATTGATTGCTCGAAGATCGTAACTTTTCATAGAGACGCTCAATCGGCGCAAACTTTGCACTGTTAGAAAGAGCTGGTGAAAGAACCTACAATACCGACTGCTCCGATTTTTGTTGCAGGTTTCCGATTTTTTATGACCCTACACGAAAAATTCAAATTTTGAATGATTTTGGTTTTGAGCTTCTTTCTCCTTCATTTGTATACATTAACAAACAATTCAGGTACAGATGCAAAGAGCATAAGTTCCTCTATTAGGGTAAATTTTGTTCTTACAAATTTGTTAAGAATTTAAAGAGTTATGAATTTTGAAAATGGTGCGAACGAACTTTCGGTCCAACCTAATATGT